GCTTATTAAAATATGTCTATGTAATGATAAACACAATTTCTTAGATATTCTGTATTACCAACACTGAAGAAAAAAATTGAATTGATACTGCTTCTAATCACTGATGCTTTTAAATATATGTGTGAGAGTTAAGAGAAAGCACTGAGAGTGAAATGATAATATTAATCTTTTTGTATGTTTTAAATATTTTGTTATTTGTTATTTAAGGACATTTAAATGTACATTGAACTGTAGTTAATAGGCATTTGTTAGCTGTTTTCATCTTTTTTAAATGAGCCATTTTCAATGGAAAAATGGCATCCGCTCCCAGGAAGCACACATTATTTGTAAACAGACATTTTTTAAGTTTCGTCATCATTAATTTAGCAGTGGTCTGAAAAGGATCAATAACCACGTTCTAAAAACAGTCTTTCTGTGGTTCTACTGACTGTATTGCCATGTTTACAGTAAAATGCACTTATTACACATCTCCCAGGCTTCAAATTTGTATGCGAGATTAGGGAAGCAGTTTCTAAGCCATGTGGCACTGACAAAAATGACAGAATAATGCATTTCCAGAGAATCTAAGGTCTATCCCAAAATGTGATGAAAAAGCATAACAGAAACCTGTACTGTGGAAGGGAATCTGTCTTTTAAAATCAAAACTCTATGGCTTTGTTTCTTATTATTTAGTGTGAGCTCACACAACAGAACTCTCACATTGAAATATTTTCTCATTTTAAGGAATTAATGGCTCTCCACCAGCCCTTTAACATGTAAAATGAGTAGGTTACTTATGTCCAGTACATCCAAAAAGAGCCAGGATAAAATAAACATAAGGAGTTGGATATCTTGGAAAAAATCTGTCATGGGTTTGGGTTAATCATCTCCAGAAGAAATTCAACTTGATGCCTGAAATGTAAGACTTCTTGGAGAAAGCAGTAAAGCCTGAGGCAGTGTTGATCTGAAGGAGTGCTCTCCATGGGTCAGAGCTGCTCTGCTGGCAGAGTGCAAATCCAGTTCACAGCAGCGGTACACTGAAAAGTTGTAAAAGACTGCCGGGGCCTTACAGTGCACGCACTCAAGCTTCAGTTACATAGTTTTAGTGGCCCAGTTTCTTATTATAAAACAAAACTAAAAAATAAAAGCTGTGCCTAATTTTCCAGCCTCCTGTCCATCAATGATAATGTAGGCTTTTTCTCTGTTCCTGGAATGAAGCAATCCTGAAGTACTGTAAGTTTAAAAATGAATAAATAAAATGTCATTTATGTGCATTCATGCAGTAAACTTCAGCATTTGGATATTTATAAATGATCTAGGCATAGAACATTTCTATTACAATTTTTGCTTTTCACATTCAATTAAAAAAAAAAATGAAGAGAGAGAAAAAGATTTTCTCTTTGCCTGAAGTTCCTAAAGAGGAAGTTCAGGAATACATTCCAATTTAGTATTATATGATCTCAGTGTAGTTCTAGTCTTCAGGATTCCACTATTCTACTGTTAAATATTTCTGATTTTGACCACATATTTCACCTGCTCATGTATTATCTCTTTGTTCATGCCTCTACTGTTTTGCAGAGTTGCAACTTGTGGTGGTATCAGGACTTTATTAATGCATTGGAAATAAATGTGTTTGTTCCAAAAATCTTCTGAAACTTGAAATTTATACAACATGTAAGCTATGTCACCTGTGCTTTCCTAGCACAGCAGTTAAAAGGAAGTGCGCATTAGGGGAAAAAAATATTAAAAATCTTACTGCTATTTTGCTAATGACTAACTACCTCGTGATGACTTCAGTAGGAATGAGATTTCGCCCAGAATTTCATCAGAGGTTGAGAACTAGTTTATGGCATTGTTGAATAAGAAAGCACAATATTTCTGATAGTTTCATTTGCGTCTTCTGAGATCTTAGCTCTCCTTTTCTTGAAGTGTATGTGCAAAAGCTAGGTAGTGTCTGCTCAGATAAGTTATCTTATATAGATAAGTTGACTCCATTTCAGATCCACAACATTTTATAATACATAAGGCAATCATTTTGGATGAAAAGACCCCTGAGTCCTGAAGCATTTCAAATCCTTTTCCATTTGACCATTCAGTGACCTGATAACTATTTCCTGTCCCTAAGTAAGGTTGTGACCCAGGTCTTAGAGTGCAAAAGACAGATAATTTTAGAAACAAGTTAAATCCAAATGGATTTGGTTGGAGGGGGTGAGGGAGAGTAAGTTTGGCTAAACTCCTCTAAAATAAAATGTTAAAGCACTTGGATTTAGTAAGTATAGGTAAAAGTAATTGTAGAATTTGTTGTCATTTGTTTGGATGCCTGGGGACTGCAGTCAATATTGGGATGGTTTGTTTATTCATCTTGCTTCTGATATAAATAGCCAAATGCAAAGGTGTTCATTTTACATGGAAAAAAAATACTAATGATGAGATCATTAAAAGTGCATTTTCAGAGACATTCCAAGTATTATCCAAAATGAATATTTCAAACATTACATTTATCTTGGTAAGTGAATGGTATTTGAACATAACCCATGGGAAGTGTGCTCTGTGTCCATAGAAATATCACAACTGTTGCACTACACAACGGCTCATCTTGCAGAAGTATAACCATTTTGTATGGAACTCAGAACAAGGAATAAAATGGATTCTTACAAACATTTTATAGGAACAAATACTTGTTTCAATTGAACAACATGATTCATATTAAATCATGATTAAAGAAATATTTCCCATAGTTATGTTTAATAGCAGTATCTTTGTATACTTCAAGTACTCTCAAAGGTGGACTTAAGGAAGGCCTTTATCCCAGAGCATTTAATTAATTTGAAAATGTAGTTGATTAAAGTTTCTTATAAAGGAATTATTTTTATCCTATTCTATAAGGTGAGCAATGGTGTTATGGAGAACTGGTGGCATGAATGAGGTCAGAGATCTACAGCTATCCAAAAATGCTATTTTTCATATGATAATGTATTTAATATTGAATGTACAACTTAGTCTTTCTGTTTTTTTATAGCTATTAATGTTGTGGATCACACAGATAATATATTTCAATAACGTGTAACATTTTTTTCAGGCAAAATATTGAAATCACTCAAGTCGAAATCAGGTTATTAAAAAAATTATATTGTTCAGGTCTAATAGTATAGGTAAGTCCTATACCTTTCATGTAATCTATAAAAGGAGACAGTATATATGGTTGACTTTGATGATTTTATGAGGAACTGTATGAGCACCTCAAATGTTGTAATAAAAATCTACAATCATTCAGTGATATCTGTATAAATTCTGTGATATGCTGTGTATTTCTCTCATGTACATCTTCCAAATTTATACTTTTATGGTTCAACTCTTACCATTTACAATACAGACCCATTTTAGCAGTTGTTTCACATTCTTAGGTTTGCGGTATTTTGGTGTATGCACTGCAGATATTTTACCTGGCTTATGTGTATAAAGAAAGGTGGAAATAATGTATTTTCTAGTTATTTTATGTGTGTGTGTGTGTGTGTGTGTATACTTGTATTCTCTCAAATTCCTAAGAAAGGATGGATGCAGAGATAATATTTTTATTTATTTATTTATTTATTTATTTATTTTACATGACAGTCTAGAATAGTTCTTCTGTTGTAGATTTCCTGTCAGTTTAACAAATTTGATGTATGACTATAATTTTATATTTTACTACATTTTTAGAATCTTAGAGATAACCCAGTCCAGGTAACCAAATAAACAAATTTAAGTCGCCAGACAAAAAAAAGAAATATATTTTATTTTCACAATCATTATTAAAGAAGGAGATTTTGAATAACTAAATTTTATAAATGTATTTAAGACCATTAAGTTTAAAAGTTACTAAGAAACTGAATGTGAAACTGAAGTCAGTACCAGAAATTCATGTTTCTGTTTTGTTTTGTTTTGTTTTTCTCATATGAAGCAAGCTCAGTAATTTTCAGTTTATGATGAGAACAGGGATTTATTTTGTCAAAGCCAGATTTTTTTTTTTAATATCAAAGTTAAATTTACTGAGAATTTGCTTTAGTATCTCATGGGTGTATATTTTGTAATTGAGAAATTAGTAGTGAATGTAAAAAGAAAAGAAACTATGTGCTACTAAGGCAGAAAGTTCTGATTTAACCTACCAATGACCTGGCTTTGTTTGTTCAGATGACAGTTCTAAAAGTGTGCAGAGAATATTCCCTTTTAATACAGTTATTTGCCGCAAGCCCTGACCTCACTGCCTGTCAGGGAGCAGGTCTGAATTGGCCCTTTCTCTGATATCGTGACATTGCTTCTGTTGCCTCGATTGTGACCTCTGATTGCATGATACCCCTGAGAGTTCAATTTAATAAGCGTGACTCCTGACTCTTAGCCAGGTCTGCCTTCTTAGGTTTTGTCAGACTCTACTTGTACTCTGGTCTACATATGCTAAAACATTGCATAGGCTGTCATCATACCATGTGAGTTGTGTGCACTGTATTCAAAATTCTCTTTCAAACATCTTTCATTTATTGCAAATGGAAATATTTATAAAAACTTACCTGTAATAAATTTTAATAATTGGTTCTTCCATAGCTATGACTGTTCAGTTTTGTTTTGTTTTACTTTTGTACAAATAATTACTACTATTTCACTTTATTAACAACATGCATGTTATCATGCTAATTCCTGACTTTAAACTTTGTTTTATTTCCCCAAAGAGAGTGTTATATCTTTTTGTGATTTCCCATCAACAATGTTCATTATAGAAATGGTAGGGATGAATTCCCTTTTTTCATTGCATAGTTAATACAGTTGCACAAGGAGACAGTACTGATGTCACAGAGCACTATGAGAAGTAGTTAAGTTTTTCAGGACTAGTCAAGTGAAAACTGAAGAATCTGTTTGGAATTTGGGAACAGGTAAGTAAAATTAAGACTTTTTAAGTACTAAGGAAAATTTAATATATTGGTTTTAGTGACTGTTTTGCTACCTCATTGCATTCTATTCTCCTCTTTTTATTCTCCTATTCTAACCAGAATCCTGAGGGAAAGTTTGTTCAGAGATGTGGCTGCCTTGAGGATGGTGATGCTATTCAGACATTTCTCCAGTTTTAGTATACCTTGATGTGTTCACTGAACCAGACTTTGGAGAAGTTCAAAGATTTCAGAATTTCAAGAACTGTGTTACAAGATACAGAAAAAAATTTACTCATGTATTTACTTATGTATATTTTTTGTATTCTTATTGCTAATTCATATACCATTTTCCAGTTGCTGTATCAGTACCTCTAATGTACTGCTTTTCATGTACTGTATTTAGCTTTACTGATCTGAAAAGAAGAAAAATCTTGCTACATCATACAAATGTTATATATTTTATAATTAAAAGATTTTCTGTCTATTAATATTTCTCCATTGTTTTAAAGGATTCTGTTCACCTTTTTTGGTCAGATTATTTTGTGTTACAATTTATCTATCTTGTATGAAAAAAAAAAAAGAAACTATATTAGAGTCTTTCTTACAAAACATTCTCTTATTAGAGAGAGGTAAAAAGCAGACATTGTCCTGTTACTTTAAAACTTGCTAAAAATATGATGTTCGTTCTCCATGACAGTGACTGTTACAAATCCTAACTGCTTTGTTCAGTTAATTTTTTATTTATATATTTTTTAAGAATTCCCATGCAAGGTACTATAATTTTAATAGAGTAGTTTAGTCTGTAAGATTGTAAAACTTATCTGTTTCATTATTCTGATGTAAAATGTATAAAGTTATCTACTGAAGTTCTTTAATTTCAAGTGTGAGTTCACTTATATAATTGGACTTTATGTGCTTATTGTCCTTTTTGAATCCTGTGCTAATTGCAGAAGCTTAAATAAGTGGCTACGAATAAGCAAAGTTAGGAATGGACAACTGTTTTACCTGTTGTTGAACAATCAGGCAAAACAAACTATACTTTTAAGTTTATTATTTATGGCAAATATAAATAGAATGCACATGAGGCAAATTCAATGATTCAGAATCATCATGGTATTTAACTTATGTATATGTCAGCAAGGTGGAGGGTTTAGTGAAAAATTTAGCTTAGAGGTTTAGTAAGAAATAAACTAATTTAAACCCACCTACTCCAATAATAAAATATTAACAATCAAGCATGTTCATTTTCTCATTAAAAAATGATTTAAATAAAGGTCAAAACAAAATTCCCTGACAGAACAGGAGGATCCAGGGTAAAATTAGTCCTTTTTCATTATTCAGTGAAATAAATCATTCAGATCTTCTTTGCATAGAAAAAAATATGCAGTTGTAACAATAACTGATTCAACATCAATATAATTAAGTTCAATTCCCCTAGGGCTAAATACTCTTGAATGTGTGTTGATGTAACTAAAATGATGTGCTATGTTTAAATTATTGCACTTTTCAAGTGTTTATAAGCTGAAAATTTCAATCTAGTTTGTAAAGAACTCTATAAAAGTACTAAGCTCTTTGAAGAACACCAATTAAGAATTAGTCTGGGGAAACTTGCCAGCAAATCATGTTTTTGTGTTTTTGCTTTTGTTTTCACCTGTACTTTACAAAGGGAATTCCCTTTTTTTGAATAGATCTGGAATTTAATATTGTTTATTTTCTTCTGTGATGTATAAACCAAATAAATAAATAAATAAATAAAACTTCTTAAGAAGAATTGGTGTTTTTATATCTATCTGTGTTTATTGCCTATGTAAGTCCCTGGTATTTACAGTTATTTTTAAGATGAAGATAAATACATAAGAATTGTATCTGCTTGGGGTTTGCCTCTCTTTAGATGTTGAGTCTGAGACTTTTTGTTTCCCTGTTGAATTCAATAAGCATTAAATCAAGCCATGTTTACGTTTGACATAATGGCAGACCTGATCTTCGGTGATACCTCTGCATTTGACTATGAAGTAAATTAATCAGCCACCTTGAACTTAATCTCTGTAGATTTTGTGTGTGTATTTGACAATGTAAAGTTGTTCTACTGTTATTCTTTACCTCACTGAGAAAACTATGAAGTGTTGTCACCGTACCCTCATGCCAACAGGTATTTCCAGTCTACATCAGAAAGTAAGCCAGAAATAGTTTCACCCACACTTTTAAATCCAAAATTATATGTATCCATAATAGATAGAGTACACGACCAATTCACATGTATTCAAAATTGAACTACATTAACAGAAAATTGTTTCAGTGTTACTCTGCGCTGATAAGTACCAATGAGTGAAACTCACGTTGTGTACATCACATGTGTTGATGAACATAAGATCTTAAAAATAAGTTCATACATTATTCAGATAACTATCTAGAGAAAACGTTTATTCTCAAGGGTAAACATAATTAAGACTTTTTAAAACATACATTCCTGTGATACACTGTTACATGTTTTTTGTTTACAGTATTTAATTTACATTAATTACTTGCTCATAAAATTATGAGATAATTATTAATGTGGTTTAAATCAGCTTTACTAACTTTGTGTTGCTCCTGATTAATGATTTATGTATTTATTTTTAATACTTGACATAGGTGTCTTCTTGTTACATATCAGTCCCAAATTGTTATTTTGAACCAATCTTTCATTGGGTTTGAATTTTTCTGTCCCAATCTTCTACTTGTAAGTCCTTCAGTACAAACAAAACCTACCTTAATAGTTGTCACACTCAATAAAATTTACTGTTTTATTGTGGGGTTTTTTGCCCACCTCATAGGGAGCAACACAGTAGTTAAAACCTCCTACACTCATAGAAAATGTTCTTTTGTATTTATCTATTTTTATTTATTTTGAGAATTTCTTTGGAAAATCTGATATCTTAAATCATATTGGTTGGTTTATTTAACGTAGGAAAGGTAATCCTCTTGTTTGCACTCCATACAAAGTGATAATCTTTTCTTGCTTGAAAATTCTGTTTCATTAATGAGCAGCTAAGCACTTCTGTTCCTGTTCTTGATTGTTTCTGTCAGTTAATTTTAAAAACTGGGAATGTATAGAATTAAAATCTATCAAAAGAATTATTTAAAAAAAAAAATGTTTATACATTCCTTAATTTTCTCTTGAGCAATTTCCATTTTCTGTAGAAAGCATTCTTCATTAGTGCATTTAATAATTCCAAAAGAACACGAGAAAAACTAGAGGTGGATTCTTTACGAGTTAGATTTGGGTGAACAGATAGAAGGTGAATGTAGGCAGTAACTATAAACATAACAGGCTCAATCTACTTCTATCCTATTTAGTCATAGTTAACTGAGTGTGGAAATGCTGGACATATCATTTCAAAGTAGTTTTTACTTCTTAATTTCTTTGTTTCTTCAAGGGACTTGACTCCTGAAGATATTTTCGTAACATACTCAAAATTTACTCCTCAGCACACCTGTTGAAATTTGCTTATGCTGAGTGGCTGAAGCAGTTAGTATATAGTTTACAGAACACACTATTCATAGAAGAATATAAACAAGAATAATGTGAAGATACAGTGTAATGCTGTAAGTGTATGTATTTTCAGAACTCATAAAAACCCAAGTGGATCTTGAAGAGTGCTGTTTGCAGGAGGCAGCAGTTTACATCAGGAATTCACCTTATTGTGTTCATATGGCTAATATCATGCTTATAGTTCTCATTTTCTTTAGAATTCTTTTCTATTTTTTAGCAAGAACCAATCTAGTCTATCAAACATGAAACTGATGAAACTGTTTCATGTTACTTCCAAACCTATATATAAAAGAAATCTTTAGTGTGGCTGGGCTGAAAAATGTTGAAATGTTAATCTGTTGGTTTTTTTTGGTTGGTTGGTTGGTTGGTTGGTTTGGTTTATTGTTGTTGTTTTAAGATGTAATGTGACTTTTTTTACCTTTTATTTTTTGGGGGGTAACCTGATAAAGCAAGGATCATTAGTGGGTGTGGCAGTGGGTATTCAGATAGTCAGCTTTTCTTTCTGTATACTCTCCATCTTATCCATCAGCTGTTGTTTTACACTTACTACAGAAGAAGTTCATCTTCACTATCACCACACCTTCTAAAATACAGCACTAATATGAAATTTTCTGGCTACAAAGATAATAATAATACTGTTTGTTATATTAATATCACAACTATAATTGTCCAGATCAGAAGAGTATGATGTTTGGAGAGCCTTCAGTGCCTCTTCTAGTACAAACAAAAATACCCAGAACAACTGATATATTTCAACTGAGTGGAGTCAGTAATTATATGGCATTTCATTCAAAACTTAAATGGCAAAACATAGTAACCAGAATTAAATATCAATCAATATTGATCAGAAATACACATAACCTCACAATTTTTGATTGTTGACTAACTAAAACAGTGGCCAGGTCATGTGTTGTTTTGCTTTGTTTTGTCCTGCTTTTTCTATGCTCTAAAATTCAGATGGCCTTTATCATTGACTGAAGTTAAAATAACCTTAATCGTATATTTGGTTCCAGTGTTAATTGACAGTTGTAGTATTTTGAGTTTGCTACTACCTTGATACTAATATGTAAGAACGGTAGTCTACATAACTGTAAATGCAGAGGCTTTAATGGTAGAAAATTAGTCAATTGGCAGAATTTGGTTCTGGTTTTTGAGTTAATTTTAAAGAAATAATACTTTTGTGGACAAGGGAATGTCATTAAATGTATTAGAGGCTGTAGGCCTTCATTAAACAACCGCTTTAATATTCCTTTATGTTTTCTTCCTTACTTTTCTAATTGACCCAATTAGCGTATTCCTATATTACTATATTTATTTGTCCTCCACTATTTGGTCACAATCTTTTTCCCACTGACATCTTCAGGTCACAAGATCATCACAAGATTCAGTGCCTGAATCAGATCAGAACAGTAATAAATTCTGCAAAAAATAAAATCAGCAATTGCATGTGTGACATCTTCCTGTACACACCTCAGATTAAATATTTCTTTATGCTTATAAATCAACTCAGAAAGGTGTTGTATGTCTTAAGGAACGGCATGATATGAAACCAATTTTGTTACAAGGGAAATTAGAGAAGATAAATGAGAAATCATATTTAACATAAATGATGGAGTAGAGAAAATAATGGCAGCCCATATCATTGTGAAAGTTGGATAAATTGCAAGGAACAGAGTTCATTCTACCTTGAAGTTGATGGCAGGTCAGTGAAGCATATGAAAAAAAAAAAAAAAAAAGAAAGAAAAAAAAAAAAAGGAAATTAAGGGAGTGTTCCATGTCCACAAAAAAAGTGAAAGAGTTAAGCAATTTTATATAGAATGAAATTTTGTAGTTTTCAATAAATCTGTGTGATAGTGGGTTGCTGTGAGAGAGATTAAATGATCAGAAGATACCAGGAGAACCTAATCAGTAATATTGTAATACGAATAAATAACTTTAAATGAAGCATTTTAAAAGCATTTTGTTGAAGGTTAAGTAAGACTTGAATTTGTTTCAAGGTTGGGAAAGGAAGAAACTGAGAATAACCAATAAGCTGTGTATAAAGACTAATATAAATCACTACTGACAAATAGTGGTGGTGGTGTATTATGCAGAGACAGGAACAAGCAGTGAAATAGACAAGAATGTGTGGGAAGTCCTAAGTATAAAATTCTGTTTTCCTTGAATTCAGAAGCTGAAATTTGTACAATTTCAGTGGTTTAGGAATCTCAGTGAAAGTATTCAGCTTTTGCATAATCTAATATTAAGAGTTCAGAAAGATAACACGGGTGGGAGAGGCTGAAATATATTGAGTGAAACAGAATAAACTAAGGAGGTGAAGCTTTATTAGTGGTGCGAATCACCCTGAAATAGACCATAGTGTAGAACATAACAAAAAATAGAAATGAAAACATGGAGAAAAAGGGCAGTCCAAAACCAGATTATGGTCTAATTATATTCATGATTAGGAGTGTGGTAAATACCTGGATTTCAGAAAGGAAGAACGAGTGTTAGCGTGAGGTCAAGAACAGTTGCGTGGTGAAAAGGAGATAATTACTATAGCAGATGAAGAGGTTAGAGAGGAGAAGGAGGTTTGCAGATTGAAGAGTGATATATTAGACCTTAATTATTGTCTGAAAGAATCTGAAATATCTGGTAAAACAGGGAAAAATATAAAAAGTTTTTTTTTTTTTAATGTATTTCTTCCTTTCTATATTTGTTTTTATGATTTTTGAAGCATGTGCTCCTGTGGCTTGATCAGCACTCCTATATTCAAAACTCTTTGTGACATAAATGATAATGCATTTGTAGCATCAAGAATTTTTTCAGGTTGTAACCTCGTGGTATTTTGAAAAAATGTCTGTTTCATCTTTTACTCATCTGTGCACTCAGGCACTGCTATAAATATTCTCCGTTTTTCATTCATTATGCCCCCAGATATACTAATTACTTAGTCAAAAGTTACTCAGATGGAAAGTAAAATCTAAAATTAATCTGTCTATGTCGCAGACAAGATTCTTTATTTTTAAGGTAGAAAGGTGTTTGACTGTCTGAAAATTCCAGACCTGAGTTGTAGATAAAGAAACATGATGTGGTGATATTATTTTAATTCATATATTTATTTCTTTTATATATATATATATTTTATATGTTTATTTTAATTTATATATTTAA